TTGTCTCCAAACTTGATTGACAAAGCACACAAGTATCATTTGCAGTAATTCCCCATTTCTTAAGTCTGTCCACCGTAAGTAATCTCCCTTGGCATTGCAGCCACATTGTAAATATAGCCTTAGGTCTAGCAGCATTTTGGCACATTAGTCTCCTCCAGCTAGTTTTAGGTAAGGTTGGTATCAGTTGAAGTTAGATCTGATTGATGATACTTTTCTTATCATCTAAAGGTTTGTGTAGCTGACTGATAGCCTCCCTTGCTTCCAATAACTTCCTCACCATCCAGCTAGCATTTTTTGGGATAGGCATGGTATTTGTACACTGTTCTTTGATGTAGACAACATGAATCCATTTAATCCACAATTTGTCTTGCTTGTGAGATAGGTCTCACAATGTTTTGGCAGTAGCAACAATATTCCATATCTGTAGATTGCTTAAGTTGAGACCACCAACTGTCTTAGGTAGACACACTTTATCTCAGGCAATGAGGGCTCTCTTTGTGATTCCATTTCCACCTGACCACATGTAGCTTTTACAGTAGGCTTCAATCACTTTGATTGGTAGGGAAAAAATTTGGGCCTAGTAGGATTGGATTCCAAACAGCACAGTCTGTATTAGTTGTACCCTTCCAGCATAAGATAATTTTTTTGCAGTCCATGAAGTTATCCTTGCCACTATTTTGGTGATGAGTGGTTGCCACTGTATCATAGTCAGATTCTTTGTATCCAATGGCACCCCTAGATACTTAAACGGCAGCTGTCCTTGAGAGTATCCCAGTGTCTGGTAGATTGCCTCTCTAACCTTGCTCTCCATTTCCCCACAGTATATGGCATTCTTTGCTAAGTTTTCTTGTAGTCCAGAAGTTGTTGAGAATATTGTGAAGCATTCATGAAGTCTTTGTACTGAAGATGTGTCACCTCTGGCAAAAAGAAACATGTCGTCAGCATAGCTCAAGTCATTAGCATAGCTCAGATGAGTGATGTGTAGTTTGCCACATCGTGGATGGTATTTGAATCAATTATCATGTTGCAGTTCATTGAGAAGTCTACTCAGGTATTCCATGGCAATAGCAAATAGAAAAGGTGAGATTGGATCTCCTTGTCTTAGGCCTTTAGCAACATTAAATGGCTCCATAGATTCCCTATTAAGCAGGATGGTATAATTAACTGTTCTTACACAAGTCATTAGCCATCTGATAAACTTGTCTGGGAAAGCCAATCCTTCTAGAACTTGTTCGAGATACACCCATTCCACAGAGTCATATGCCTTTTGTAAGTCAACTTTGATCATACACCGAGGGGAGATATGTTTCCTGCTATACGATTTAACCAGTTCATGTGCTAGGATTATGTTATCATCAATCCTTCTCCTAGGGATGAAACCTGCTAGTGCCTCTGAGATAATGCAGCTCATGATCTTTTGTAATCTCCCAGCAAAAACTTTTGCAATCAGCTTGTACAGCATGGTGCAACAAGCTATAGGCCTATAATCCTTCACAGTATTGGGGTTTGCAATCTTTGGTAGTAAGGTTAGTGTGGTACAGTTAATAGCTTTGTACATGACCCCAGTGGTAAAGAACTCTTTAATAGCATCACATCCCTCATTTTTGATGATAGGCCATGCTTGTTTAAAGAATGCAGCACTAAATCCATCAATTCCTGGAACCTTGTGATCACCAATTGAACATAATGCTTCATAGATTTTTGTATCTGTAATAGTAGCACATAGTTCTAGTTGTTGACAGTGTGATAGTCGAGGCCCATTTCTCATAACCATCATGTTAACTCCTGGTAGAGAGGTTGCAGCTGATCCCATCAGGGATTTATAGAATGCTGCAAACTCTTCTTTGATAGCTTTAGGATCTTGCAACTTCATACATGTCAGGGAGGTGATCTCCAGAATTTGCTTCTGTTGTTATTTTTCTTTCATTACAGTTGTGAAGTATTTTGTATTTGAGTCTCCCAATTTGATCCATGTAGCTCTGGATTTCTGCTGCATCACACTTTCTTCAATCAAAGACCACTTTTCCAGTTATTGCAAACATTGTTTCTCTTGATCAGCCAGAGAATCTGAGTATCTAATTTGCATTTCTTTTTGGATCTCCTTCAATGTGGCCCTGGTATTGATAATTTATTCAGTGATTCCTTTGAACTCTTCAGAATTGAGCTGCTTGAAAGCAGGTTTCAGGTACTTCAATTTAAACCAGAAACTTCTCATTTTTCCTCATGTTTCTCTTCTTTTCCATCCTTCAGTTGTTATCTGGTTGAACATTGTGTGTTCAGTCCAAATATTAAAGAATCTGAAGGGTACTCTATTTTTACTTTTAGATTCTCTGAATGGTATCATTATGGGCACATGATCTGAAATAAAGGGTTAACCAAATTCTGTTGTTATATGTCCATATTGCACCATCCATTCATCATTTGCTATTGCTCTATCAATTCTGCTACAAACTTTGTCTACTCCTTATTGCTTGTTTGTCCATGTATGGTAATCACCTCTCCATGGAATTTCATTTAACAGTAGACTGTTATAGCAATTGGAGAAATCCTGTAGTTCTGCTAAGGTAATTGGTGATCCTTGTCTGTCACGTGGGTGTAGAATAGCATTGAAATCCACACATAGTAGCCAAGGTTCATTCCTTTTAGGAGCCAGTCTTTGCAAGCCATCCCACAATGCTTTCCTCTGCTAAACTGTGTTAAAACCATAGATAACTGTGAGTAAACACTTAACTCCATTCTGCTTCCTAGTGACCTGACAGTGCATAAATTGAGCAGCTTCTGGTATAAGTTGAATATCATACATTTTAGGGTCACATATTACCCATATTCTGCCATTTCTTGCATCTTTGTAGTTTGATAGTCTTTCCCAACTAGGAGTCACTCTACCAGCTATATGTAATGCCTTATTTTGTTTTACTCTAGTTTCTAAAAGAGCAACTAACTTTATATGATTATCTTTGAGGTATTGCTTTAGTTCCTTCTACTTATACCTCTTATTTATCCTCCTAACATTCCAGAATAACCATGCCATTGTAATAACCTAATACTCCCCCTGCATCAGGGGGTTTGGCATTCACAATTCTCTGATCCACCTCAGGTAGAGCTTGAAACCCATTTCTTGTTGGTATAACCTTAGGGTCTAGGCTAGTCTTTTTTCTGTTATTTTTAACCATGAGCTTGCACCCTTTGGTTTGACCTGTACCTAACCACTATTAGCATTCTCCTCCACTACATTCACAACATTTTTCCCTTTGGCTAGCCAATCTGTGTCTTCTTGTTGGTCTTTTATCTGTTGCTTTCCCTGTTGTATTTGCTCCCCTGCCAGCTGATGTTTGTTCTTTGGTATCCATGTTAGGACTAGCCTAGGCCTTTTGTTCCTTTGAGCTTGCACTGGCCTTTCTTCTCGCTTTTGCTTCATACAATCATGGCCAATCTTTAGGCATTCTGAACAAATATCTGGCTTCCATTCAAATTCTATGGGCTGCTAAAACTGTCTACCAGAAGGGTCATTAATAGTAATTTCAGTATGTAACTTCTTAGTAACATTGACCTCTATCAAAATTCTAGCATTGGATACCCTGGTTTGCTTGGTGGTGCATTGGTCAGCAAAAAGAGGTTTACCTAGGGTACTAGCCATCCTGCTCAAAGAGTTTGTTCCCCAGCAATTCATGGGAAGCTTAGGAAATTTTATCCATAATGGTATCTCAGTGAGGAATTCTGCATTAAAATCAAAATTCGGGGATCATTGCTTGAGGATAACAGGTCTGTTATTTATGGTGTATGGCCCTCCATAAAGTATATCCTGTAAGTCTCATAGGCTTTGGAACTTGACTATGTAGTAACCCTCCTCATGCAAGAATAGCTCAGGTTCAACTACATTATTCCAGTTTTGGGATATATAGCGATGCATCTGATTGTAGCCTAGTATTTCCCCAATTATATAGACAATAAGTTCTTTTCTCCATTTTTCTGTCTCATTTTCCACCTCCAATTTGTCTAAATTCACCACATATTGCCCATTCACTACTTCTGGAGTGATATAGGTTAGAGTCATACCATTTTCTGCAGACTGATTTCTAGCAAAGAGTTTCGTCCAAGGTGCTTCAGTCAAATTCTCCTTCACAATTGCAATTGGCTCGGGTCTCATCTGACTGTCCTCAATTTGAACTGGGCTAGGTCGGTTCTCTTGTGTAATCAATTTCTCCACATTGTTGGTTGAGCTTCCTTGATTGATCAAAGGGCTTGGACTTAGAACCAGCTTTTTCGATGTACCAGCATGAGCACTGGCCGTCCCCGCTTCTAGTGACCTAGTTGTAAATGGAGGCCCAATTGGGGTTATGGCTGGTTGTGTATTACCGCAATCGATTGTGTCTTCAATTACAGTGCCACTGATGGAGCTTCCTATAGTAACGATCGGTGGATTTTTGAACGGACGTCCTCTCTTCTTAGCCATGGCAACCAAGGTATTACAGATATTCCTCGTCGACTTTTATGGTAGGAATTTGAGCAATATTTGGCCAGTAATCCCCCTTCTCAAATTCTAGACTTGGTTTGAGAAATGGACGGTTGCGAATCCATAGTGTAGAGATGGAATAGGGCATCCCTTTTACTGGAAGAGATTGGAGTTTAGGGCAATGAAAGATATCCAGTTTAGAGAGGGAGGAGGGCAGCGTTGATTCTGGAAGAGGTTGGAGATTACCACAACGACAGATAGGCAGCAGAGAGAGGTAGGGCGGTTTTCTTTTTGCTTGAAAAGATTGGAGGTTAGGGCAGTTTTCGATAAACAACTCAAAGAGGGAGGAGTGCAGCGCTGATTCTGGAATAGATTGCAGTTAATGGCACTGGTATATCTTTAGGCTTCGAAGTAAAATGAGGTGCCTAAGACCTTTTGTAGTGAATGGAGCTCATGATGATCATTTAATGTTAGATGAGAAAGACACGAGGGAAGCCCTTCTTCTAGCAGTGACTGAATTTGAGGTAAATTGTAAATAAATAGAAATTCAAGAGAGGTGAGGCTTTTGAGCACTTGATTGCTTAATGTTTTTCAGATTGGATACCCAAAGATGCCGAATACAACAAGGCAACTCCCAATTCTCATCACCAAGAATCTCTTCATCACTGCCATCATGGAAGATGAATAAACTTATGAGACAGGAAAGTCTCTGTAAACGCCACTCCTTTCGGCCATTCACTAGTTTCTTGCAATCGACAATCTGAAGGACTTCTAAATTGAAGGGCAATCCTCCTTCAGGAAAGGACTCCGTTTCTGGACAATTTTCCAGTACCAGTTTCTTAAGAGATGGAAGGAGTTCATGCATTCCTTCTGGTGGCAACTTTAGCTTCTGGCTTTTGCTAATATGCAAATCAAGCAACGACGTGGTCTGAGTCCCACATGCCACTGAAAGTATTTCAAGATTCTCACATATGTTAATTTCTAGTATCTCGATCCCAGTGGGAATCAAAAGCCTTGTGAGGCGGTAACAACGCTCAATTCTCAAAATGCGTGTACTTGGTACGAACTCAGGTGGTATATCATCTATAGAATAACATCCATCTAGTGTCAATCTCTCGAGAAACATGTTACTTATGCTAGAGATCATCTCACTAACAGACAACTCTAGTTTCAATTTCCGATTTAGATTTATCCTTATTTCCTTCAAAGTACTTGACAGACTGCTAATAGGTAATGCTGTAAGAGAGTAACACTCAATAATATTTAATTTAACTATCTGTTTCGTTCCCTGAAGATGGGATGCAAACAGTTCAGCGTGATAAAAAAGAACTTCAACCTTAGGAGAACCAATAACTTCAAACTCTTTTAAACCTGAAAGTTAGATAGGTGTCTTCAAATTGAGTTTAGGACATTTTGAAATTTTCAATGTTTTTAAAGAACAAAGATTTTTAGGCAACTTCCCAATCAACTTGGGACAATCTTCAATTCTGAAGGTGATACAAGATAGTGCCAGCATTCTTCTAAACATCTGAAATTGTCCATGCTATCTAGAACTCATGGCCTTCCCTTCGAACGGAAACACAATCTCATACATGCAAACCTCAATCCCACGCATCACACAAAACACCTATCATGCCATGATACAAAAACACGAGAACCTCATTATCAACACTGAATCAAAAGCGGGATATATACTCCATCTACCAGAAACCTTCCATTTGACCTCATTCAGGAGAAGATCACAACACGTAGTGTATTCCTCATACTTGTAAAAGAGATCCATCTCAAGCCATTGTTGACTCCATCGATAATTCTTTGAAACACATTTGGACATAACCAAACCATCAAAACTAAATCCCTCTAACTCAACCAAGTCGCGTCGATTGCTCTGTCTAGGAGTATTGCCACAAAACACCTGTAGAGTTTCACTACACCAAGGAACCGATCACCTTTATCACTATGATGGGCCAAACTACTACCAAGCTAACCTATTTCTTCGAATCCCTCTCGGCTTGACTTCAAGTTAGCGTTTCTCCTAGCATCAAACCATGTCGTCCTAAGGCCCATTAGCCATTGTATTCCCTTTTAAATACACAATAATGCCGCAACCAAGATACCCACTTTGAAGAGACCATTTGTGAATTTGAAGTTGTATCGTAAGCTCTCTGAAACTGAAATGTAGAGTAACTAATGTTACAAAAACAACACAAGTTTTGACACCACCCACTATAAATCTCAGATCTTAGCCACATAAAAAATTAGAGAAAACCCTCAAATACTACTTATGAATTATGAACTCATTAGAATCTTCCCGAGGGTCATCCACTCTGCTCCAATTTCCAATGCACCACCTATACAAGCCGAAAGACTTCTTCCCCATTAGAAAAAAAACACCTAATGATGAAACCCCCATATCTTAAGCAACTAAATGAATCCCTACCTCGTGCATACTATATCCACCACAAATATCAAACAAGAATTACTCCAAGATTTCCATATATCCATAAAGTATAATACATCATGCATCAAGAAATTTTCTTACTTGAGTACTCCTCGAAATCAACCTTTTGAAGTCATAACCGATCCACAAATATGCCTCAGACCAAACTAACATAACACATGACCATGCAATATGATTGTCGATAGCAGACTCCCCCACTTGGCTCAAAGCCATAGCACATAACATCTGATAGCCCACAGTACCCTTACCCCATAACTTCCATAGCGCTCTACTACAATTCAACTAAATCCTTCATACGCTCATGTAGCACCTGCCTTAGAATACCTCAAATCTTCTGCTAAACGCATCTCCATCCTCGTAACAATCATGCAAACTCCTTTAAGAGATCCAAACTCAAATTGCAACACATACCCATCCCACTAGTTAGAAAGAAAACTCTTCACAAAAACATCATAGGGATCACACAACTTCATAATAACCCGCATGAGACAACCCACCTGCTTAGCCTCAGGCTGACATTTCTCTATGCTCTTTCATGGCCACAACCACTATGCAGTCACTTAATCCTCCCATGTGTGAACTGGTAAGCAAGACACAAGAATATTCTTCATTCCGCAAAAGAGCATTTGAAAGATCTCTAATACACTAATAACTCGAGACTATATAACACGTCTAGACAAAAATTGAGCATCCATAGTTGTTATACCCCATTTTAAACTGGTTAAGGTAAGGTCCAACATACAGGCGATTTCGCGTTTGATTAAACTTAAAGAGTCACCACCTAATTAATTATGGTGAATTAGGACACCTAATATTGATTAAAATAATTTAAAGTATAACTCTGTTAATGGTCTACTTAACCTAAAGGTTCTAGGTAAGGGTTCAATTAATCTAAAGGGAAGTTTTTAAGGCATCCTTTAAGATCCATTTTAAATGGTTAACCGACCTGACTATATTTAAATAAGGCTAATTGTTGTAATGTAAAAAATGATTAATGAGAAAAAATAGTAAGTTTATTTGAAAAAAAAAAAAGCATGTCATGAAAGAGAGCTAATTTCGAAAGCACGATTTGAAGACATTCAAACGACAAAAATCCCAATGTTTCTTTTAAAATGGAAGTTACTTTAGAATAAAATGAGTTGAGGCCAAATATGTCTTATTTTGGGGAAGAAAATTCACTTCTGCCACACAACTAGATTAAGGAACTAAGTGAAACAAACGTGATTAATGAAATACTCAGGTTTTGTAGACACCATTGTTTAACAATTTGTCCAAAAACTTAACCAAGTTTTGACATAATTCAGCAAATACTTATACAAGAAATTAAATATTCGTCTGTTATCCTAACATTGTGAAATGCATAGTAAATAGATAAGCTAAACAGGAGAGTAGGTAGGAAAAGTTGTTAAGCCACTGATCTTAAAATCTTCATATCTAAGGGTTGCATTCTATATAGTGAAATAAGTATTCCATCATTAGCTAGAGCTAAACTTGACGAAAACTAATGTTAACATACGCAACTAAGGCAGACTTCATTCGTTTGGTAAGAAGGCATATTGTCACTATAAAGATCAAGATAGGAACTAGTAAAATAGCTGAAGTAAAACATCATGTAATTTTCTAAATTACACTAGACTGGATAGTACAACAATGCCATGTTAGCTAGAAAACGCAGAGGACCTAACAGATTCTTAGACATTCATAAAAATTTGAGAAAGGAAGGGACCATATTGTCATGTAATTTCTAATAATCTTTATACTACACCAACGAATACATATTGCCAGGTTAACACTTTTGTATTTACAAACAAGCACAAGATTCCAATTAGTATATGTATAATCAGAGGTAAACAAACAGAGGAAGAGTTCTCTTAAAAATTTAAAAGCTGGTGCACTCCTAGCATCTCTTGATTAAAGAACTAACAATGATGAGTTAGTGGTTATATTGAGCATATCTCAATAGAATACATAGCCTCCCTTATTGATCAAAAGTTATCTATTTGTGAAAGTAATTCTTTAAACAAAGTTCTCACTTAAAGTTCCAACTTGAAAAAAAAGTTATAAAGACTTTGGATGAAATGATTTCCTCATGACTACATGAGCATAAAGTAAAAGGTCTTCTAAAACAATGGTTTCTATGACATTCTTTAGCACAGATAGGAGAAAAAGTGCAATGACAAGTCACAAAAAAATCAGCCTCTCGTGTTATTTCGCAACACGAATCAGGGAACAAGTGAATGGTTTTCAAGGTTTTAAAGAAATAATTCCGTGATGCAACATCTATATATACGAGCATGATACCCCTCCTAACTATGTTTCTAAAATGAGTTTTAGCAATTTAAAGAAAATCTAAGACCCAATTCTATTCCATGCTGTCAATATATTGCACAAAAATCCGAAACTTCATGAAAACATGACTTTTAATAAGTCGAGAATAACGTATAACACTTCACAAACGAGTTTCAACAAAATAAAACCCCTAATACATAATTGGGAAAAGGCCAGTACCTCTACTTTGTTAAATTGTTCACCGTTATACTTAGTTCCCTACCGTTAGCAAAGTAGATAAAATCATCCCTAACCCTAACAGATCTCCAACGTGGTAATGGACCCCTCAATTAATTTGCCAACTGGACAAATATCAACCCAAATTAAAAGACCCATGTCCGACCCAACTATCACAAATGAATGGGTCAAAATCTGGAAACAAATCGACGATGACAATGAAGAGGTCGTCGAATCAGTGCCGTCGGAGAAATTGCAAGACTCGCTGCCTGACGATTGCTCACTCCTCTTCGTTCCTCCACGGCTAAGCTGCCGCAGTCGCCGCCATCGACCGCTCTCTTTCTCTTCCATCAAATCATGAGAACGAGAGCTCTCTTCTTTTTCTTTTCTGTTTCAGGGACTCAAATGGTTTAATGTGCACACATAAGCTAATTTTTCTACATATTTTGGATTTTATTTGTGGTTGTTATTGATTGATGCTTGACTAGATTAGTATGGTTGAGGAGACCCACAAATATTTGGAGGGGAAGGTTAGAAAGAGGGATCCATCCCCGAGTTATCTCTTTCCATGTTCTATATCTTTGTCCTGTGGAAACAAATGATTATCAGGACATGAAAAAAGGGATAAGAAAAAGAAACAAGATTTGTCTGTTTCATTTTGTCATGAAAATCCTTTTTTTTTCTACTGATGAAATGTTATTCAATGTGTATTTAGTTTTTATTTTATTATGGAATCTTCTAAATTTTTCAAATTGATGTTAAGTTTTCTGCTCACAATCTTTTTGATAAAATTTTCAGTTGGTTACCTTATCATGAAACATGATTTCCCAGCCATAAATGAAAAAGAATAAAGAAGGAAGAACAAGATCAAGAACTGGAAAAGAAGAAACGAGGAAGAAGAAAAGTTGTGGTTGAATACTTGAATTAAGAGAGGAGGTGACCCATAAGGTGGCTGGATAGTTGGGTCAAAGAAATGGGCATATGTCTTTTAAAATTTGGGTTGATATTTTTCTAGTTGGCAGATTAATTGAGGGTCCCATTGCCACATTGGACATCTGTTAGAGTTAGGGATAATTTTATCTACTTTGCTAACGGTAGGGATATATTTAGACGGAAAGTAGAACGAGGTATAAACTTGAACAATTTACCAGAGTAGAGGTACAAATCTGGCATTTTTCCCTACATAATTCCTAATACCAGAATGTTAATTCACAAAAGAAATAAGAATAGGTTCTAATTTTTTTTTTTTTTTTTACCCTTTGTGGGGCAGTGAATCTGGAGCTTCGGCTTCGGATCTATCTCTTCCTCACGAAAGAAATACAAGCTCGAAGAAACTCAAGTTCAAAAGTCATCCCTTTAGAGTGAAGGAGCTGCTAAGAGAATGAAACGACAATAGTGAAAGTGGCGGAAAATGTAGTAATGCTTTAGAGTGTCGAGCGGCAGAACTCGTTCATGTGTGTAGTGTTGAACGATCAGAAAGTTAAGAATTTTTTTAAGGTCTATCTCGTCCGGTCCAACCTCTGGTTTCGGCTAAGAGTAGAAGATAGTATTTATTGTAAAGACCCGGCTAGTCATTTTGAGTATTTCAACCCCGTTCCCCTATTTACTGCTCAATTTGTGCTTTATAAATGTTATGTGCCTTGCCGGGGTAATTAGTTCGGGTCTGATGAGGTTTTGGAATGAATTGGAATACTTAGTTCCTAGGTTTAAAACTTAAGTTGAAAAGGTTGACCAGATGTTGACTTTTGTGTAAACAACCTCAGAATAGAGTTTTGATGATTCCAATAGCTCCGTATGGTGATTTTGGACTTAGGAGCGTGCCTGGATTGTGATTTGGAGGTCCGTAGTGGGATTATGCTTGAAATGACAAAAATAGAAAGTTTGACCGGGGAATTGACTTTTTGATATCGGGGTCAGAATCCGATTTTGAAAATTGGAATATGTGTGTTATGTCATTTATGACTTGTGTGCAAATTTGAGGTCAATCGGACTTAATTTGATAGGTTTCGGCATCAGTTGTAGAAGTTTGAAGTTTCAAAGTTCATTAAGTTTGAATTGGAGTGCGATTCGTATTTTTAGCGTTGTTTGATGCGATTTGATGTTTCGACTAAATTCTTATGATGTTTTAGGACTTGTTGGCGTATTTGGTTGAGGTCCCGAGAGCCTCGGGTGTGTTTCAGGTGGTATTCAGATCACTTTTCCTTCATTTTGGCACTGCTGGTAGCTGTTGTTTGCTGGTTTTTTAAACCTTCTCCGTGATCGCGAAGATTGGGACGCGATCGTGTAGTGTATCAGAGGAGTTGGTCTTTTTCCTTCATCGCGTTCATGCCAGAGTCATCGTGTTCGCGAACCTTGGTGAAATTTGGGCATCGCGTTCGCGCCCTTATGGCTGCGTTCGAGTAGGACAGAGATGAGAAGCTGGACTGGGGAGTCTGCCTTTGCGTTCGCGAAGTAGCTTCCGTGATCGCGTAAGGTGGAGCTGTTATGAACCGTGTTCGCAAGGGCTATGCCGCGAACGCATAGAGCATTTTGGTGGCAGATTATTTTGTTCATCGCGAACGCGATGGATTTTCCGTGTTCCAATAAAAGGAAATTTTGGACAGTGAAGTTTTGTGTTTCGCGAATGCGAGGGAGCTTCCGCGTTCGCGAAGAAGGGATCGCTAGTGAGAGTATTTAAGATCTGAAAATGAGACTTCATCTCATTTTTCCATCTTTCGTATTTTGGAGCTCGGATTGGGCGATTTTGAGTGGAATTTCACCACACAACTTGGGGTGAGTGTTATTGACTCCCTTGTGATTATATTTCATGAATTAATCTTCGTTTTTGGCGTTAGACTATTGAATTTTCAAGAGAAATCGGAGGATATTTCTATAATTTCATAAAATGAACTTTTGTGTTTTGAATACCGATTCAGAGTCGTATTTGAGTGAAATTTATATGGTTGAACTCGCAATTGAATGGGTTGTTAGATTTTGTGAATTTCATCGAATTTCGAGATGTGGGGCCTACTGTCAATTTTTCGAGCGGAGTTAGGAAGTTTTATAAATTATTAAATTGCAAGCATTGGAATATATTTTGATTAATTTGCATGTTGTTTGACTAGTTTCGAAACGTTTTTCTTGGAATTGAGGAGACATGAAGACGTTCAGAGGTTGATACATGTGGAATGGAATTTTCAGAGTATTGTTTAGCTTGCTTAGCATAGGATTCGGCTTGTTCTAGGTAAATTACTCTTTTAATCTTGGAGTTGAGGGTATGAACCCTGATTGTACGTGTTATGTGTTTGGTGTTGAGGTGACGCACGTGCTAGTGACAGGCGTGTGGGCATGCACCGTGTGAACTGTGACTCCATTATTCCTGTGGTACTGTTGTTGTTACCTGAACTTATCTGAAATCATGAAAATCTCTACGTACTATAGCTATTGAGTTGTGATCCATGTTAGAAACTATGTCTAGGCTACATGCTTATAATGTTGGGATCCATTGAGGTCGTTACTGCTGTTGAGTTATTTGCTTACGTTGCAAATTTCATACTTAGTCATGTTCATTCATTTTATATCATATCTCAGTTTATGTTGCTACATATTGACACATTATATCATCATTTTTGGGCTAGTTTTATGGCGTTGTGAGCCCAAGAAACTAGAGAGATTGATGACTGAGTGAGGCCAACAGCCTAATTGTGAGGATATTGTTACTATGACACGTGAGTTGTCCGTGCAGATCCAGATATTGATACTATAACACGTGAGTTGTTCGTGCAGCACATGAATTTTCCATGCAGTTTATAACGATTGGGCTGAAGGAACCCCTTTGAAGTAGCACACACCCCCAGTGAGCGCGATTGATTTATATTGAGAGATGGATCTTCCCTAGACATGGATCTTGTCCGAAGCATTTATATTGAGGGATGGATCTTCCCTGGACATGGATCTTGTCCGAAGCATTTATACTTGGGGATGGATTTTCCTTACGGGCTGAATTGGCCTTACTTAGTACTGAGTAACTAATGGACAGTTGAAGTATATATTCAGGGATGGATCTTCCCTAGGCCGGATTGGCCATATACAGTACTGAGTGATTAAGCATGATGAGTGGAAAGTGTGAAATAGTGAGATTGAGTACTCTGAGAGTGTGAGTACATGAGTTCATCTATGAGATACATCGCATTGACATGCACACATGACATACATGCATAGAGATGTATTTTCCTCATGCTGTACGGAATCACGTCATTCATGAGTTCTCACACATTGGCATATAGGCATAGTAATGCATTTTCCACTGGCTATCTGGAAAGAAAATGAAATATCTTATTTATTATTGAAAGGATTTTTTGGGAAAATAACTGTTTTCAAACTTACTCATATTTTTGGCAACTTCGGTAAACGACTTGGGTTTTCTTTGATATACTTGAAAGGGAGAACTATTTTCAAAAATCATGATTAGGCTGAGCATTTTATCTCTGAGTTACTTCTTTTATTACTTGCTTTACGTTGTTATGGACTGTTATTGGCTATTGGTGTTGGACCCGACCTTTGTTCCATCTCATCACTACTTTCAACCTAAGGTTAGGTTTGTTACTTATTGAGTACATGGGGTCGGTTGTACTCATACTACACTGTTGCACCTTGCGTGCAGATGTTGGCTGCTGACATTGCTGAGATCGACGGGAGCTGGATTTGAATATGTACTTGCGTTTCGGTCGTAGCTGCCTCTTGTTCATGGTAGCCTTATATTCATAAACAATCTGTTTATATACATTTCGAACATATGATGTATTTATTTTATACCAGATTTGTATATTCTAATCTTAGAAACTCATGATTTGTACTACCAGTCCTTGGGGAATGTATAAGATTCAGATAATTTCTTTTACTTAATTGTCTTATTAAATATTATTGGAATTGGATAGTTATTAGTTGGCTTACCTAGCGGGTTGGGTTAGGTACCATCACGACTAGTTGGATTTTGGGTCGTAATAAGTTGGTATCAAAGCTCTAGGTTCATAGGTTCTACAAGTCATTAGGAAGTATCTAGTAGAGTCTTGTAGATCGGTATGATGACGTCCATACTTATCTTCGAGAGGCTACATGGCATTTATGATAATTTTCCATCTTTCTTTCCTTATCGTGCGGAATTGATTCAGCTTGAAACATAACTCTTTTAATTCCTTCCACGCATTCGTGTCGCATGTGAGCGCTCGGTATCAACTGTGCATTACCGGCTTATGATTCCATGAACGAGATTCGAGATGGGTATTATGTGTTTTGCTGATGGGCTATTTTTGAGGACTTGAGGCCAAGATTAGACCGCAACTTAGACTCTGTAGTTTTAGTTGTGAGAACTTGTACATTTGGACTCGTATGTCCGGTACTGTCCCTATGAGTAGAATTTGTGGCTCGATGAGCGGTGGAATGACTATATGATAATTATTATGCGACTGTGGAATGTGTTCAGATGGTTTGAACGTGACGAGAAGAGTTTATCAGAATGTAAAAAGGGCCATTGGGTGCTTGGTTTTCATCTTGATTTGACGTATAGTCTCTATTTATGAGTGTGTTGAAGGATCTTTCATGTTGTGAAATTGTGGGACAAATTAAATTCTCATGTCTTAGTAATGAGTTTGGACTCAGAAAGATTAAGTGATTGCGTAGAAATTATGGCTGCGAAAGGGTATATCAAGATCCCAAGTTTAGGCTAAGCATGTGGGTTATCTCGTGCGGATTAATCTACGGAGGTGTGCTCCTTATAATGTTTAGTGAAAAGTTTCTTTTCTACCAGCGGGGTGTATGTGTTGAGATTTGAATTTGAATCTTGTTGAGAAAGTTGACTTGACTATCAAGAGAATGAATACGAGCTTAGCGGATGATTGAGGTATTCTATGGTTGGTGTTGCATGAGCTTGAGAAGAATTCTCATTGAACTGACTGCGGTATTATGGCAGTAATAGAGTATGGGTATTGTGAGTTATCGCGTGATTTGTTCTATGGCTTTGAGCCAAGTGGGGGAGCCTGCTATTGACAATTCAATTTCATTGTTATATGTTAAATTTTAGTTTGGGTCTGAGGCATACATGTGGTTTAGTTATGACTTACAGAGGTTGAGATCGAGGACGAATCGAGTAAGGAAATTCCTAGATACGGGTT